CATTTAAATTGAACATTTATTAAAAATGAGCTAAATGTGAGAACGGTGATCTAAATAGCAATAAAATATTAGTGGAACATTTTTCATTACTCAAAAAGTGAGCTAAATAATGAAAAATATGTTAGCGAAATTTTCATTTTACACTTGGCRTCCCCATAGGGATGAAGGATAAAAAAATGTAACAGCGTGAACACATTCAAAGGTTATTTAAAAAAATAAAGCAATAAACGGAACAGCTGATTTTCATTTATTTCTGCCCTTGTGAACCAGAGAACACTGCCTGGCAGTGAAGGAGCTGTACTGCCATAAGGAGTGGCTGGTACTGGAGGGTACCGGGTCAGTTCAGGCTGGACTCTTAAATCCCATCACTGGATTCCACACTTCCAATTCACTGCTGCCCAACTGTCAGACCCTACCCAGTGTTCACACAGACACTAATGCTTGTACATACATTCCTTTTGTAGGTAAGATACAGTTTAATGAATCTGTGTGAAGTTGTTTGTCATCATATGTAATGTACATTGTCAGATTCACTCTGCTGATTGGTTGGTTTAACCCAATAAATGTTTGTGAGGATAAAAAACATCACTAACTTGAATGAAACAGGGAAATATCAGTTTTGCTTAAAAGAATTGTGTATTATGAACTACTAAAATTTGTTGTTAAAATATTTTCCCGTTGAAGTTTCTTTTAGGTCTATTTTTTTTAYATCTAAATGTTTTTTTTCTTTTTTCAGAGTTAAAAAAGGATCAGATAACAAGTAAGTGTTAACCAAATCATTTACGATACACTGATTATTTCCATGTTCCTACAGAATGTCATTTTTGTGTGTTGCAAACAGCATCGTGTTACAATGATCGCGGTCGATTCTATCAAGGCAGTGTGAATGTGACGAGGTCTGGGATCCCTTGTCAACACTGGTMTCAGCAGGTAAATAAACRTGAAAAGAKGATCAAGTGGATTGTAGAAATTTARAAGAGTTTTAAATCTGTCACAATAAAACGGTTAATTTCATTATTGTTAGCCTCATAGCCTCAAGACATGTTCGGTCACAAATGACTTAGGCATATATGCTATGGGGCTAACGAAATAAAAGTCTGCATATTAGTACACATTTAAGCCTATAAAAAGCTTGTTAATTTATCATTAAGTAAAACTAGAGCTTATATATTTTTGTGTTTAAAAAAATGAAAAATTGTGTTCAGTATAGTAACATCGACACTGGATGCAAATTGTTCCTTCAGACATCCGAGAACATGTTCAGAACTGAGAAAAAAAATGATTTGTTAAACAATCTTCAAGGCAGGCAATGCCCATCCAAAGACTAAAAGAAATGTCATGCCATGTTGTTAACCTTGCATTTTGTTAATTATTTTAAGTTTTATACCATACATCTTGCAATTCTACTGAGAAACTTACACACTCACAAAAAACCCACCATCTGGTACAGCTATCTTTATGGGGACCTGGCATTGACTTCCATTATTTTCTACAGTCTAACCCTGACCACCAAACCTAACCCTGACCTCACATGTACCTGCCTGAGCCTAAAACTAACCTAAACTCAGTTCACACCTGAGGCATCTCCCCCATGGGGACTAGACTCAGGTCCCCACAAATAGGTGTGTATGCAAAAAAACAACCTGTCCCACAACGAATGGAAAACCACCACACACACACACACACACACACACACACACACAGACACASACACACACACACACACACACACACACACAGACACAAACTGAAACACTTGGACAAACAGAGTCCCAGCTGCCCAAAAGTCTCTTTATATTTTTATGACTTTGCTCAGCGAGAGGGTCTTTTTGGGTGAACTATTACCAAAACTCTCCTGTACAGTCTTGTGTGTGGTGTATGTGTGTGTGTGTGTGTGTGTGTGTGCGCATGTCTTTGTGCCAGGTCAGCAGAGAGGGAGGAGCTCCTTATGTCACATTCTCTCTCTGGAAGCAGTTAGTTTCCACACACAGATGCTTCACAGAATCCAGTGCATGCACGTSAACACGCTCCAGAGCGCATTATTTTTTCTTTACATCTCTAAGTGTTCATTCACTCAGCTCAGGAAATGRCTGCTGTCTAATGGAACTCAGATGTGGCTGGATTGGCTGAGATTGTTCATCTACTGTAAAGCTGAAAACACAAATTCATTGCATTTGTCCTTTATAGAGACAACCCTACATTCATGTGAAAACACATAAAATAAAACTGCTGCATTGCTTTTAACCTTGGACAAGTCAAAATGTTTATTTTCCCATTTCTAAAATGAGAATTTTACCTTTTGCTAGTATTCTAGGTACCTTTGATCTCTTTGCTATCTATGTTCAGATGCTGGTAGGGTAATGTTCATATTACCAGATATCATATTTGCAGTAAAACACACTCTGCACAATAAACAGTGATTAGGTTCAAAGACTGGACAGAAATTCATTGGGAAGAAGTCAAGGTACAATGGGAATTTTTGAAAAACCTTAAGAAAGCTAAATAAAACAACTAATAATTAAAACTAATTGAAACAATAAAAAAAGCATGGAGAAGCAACATTAACATGTTTGCACAGCACTGCTATTATATTTGCTGTGGATAAAGCTCTAGTTCCAGAGGAGCAATATCTACAGCTTTGTAACTAAACTTCAAATCTGAAAAAAAWAATAATAATAAAACAGAAAGAAAAAACATAAGCTCACACATGGAAAATGAAATGACACATACACTGATTTTTTTTCATGTACATATAAAACACATTTATCTTGTGATTCAATTCCTGGCTAACTATTAGTCAAAAGACAAGCTGTTTAACACGACTGAATTATTTTAATGATTGCGCCATTCCTGGCCTGAGCCAGAAGTCTCATTTCCTCCATGCAAGTGGTCCTCATAGCATCAGTGGGATCATTTACATTGGAACAGTTCTCCTGCAGGACAGTAATTGGCCCATTCTGCASTAAAGGGCCTGTACACCAGCCAAAAGATGAGGTAAGCTCAAATGTTTATGGAGGAGTGTTTCAAAGAATTCACAAAAGGGATTAGCATAATTTAATGATCTTTTATCTTAAATTGTTTTTTTAAGGTGAAACCTAAAGTCCCACATCCCTGGTGCACAGAGTCTGTTTTCAAAAACAGGGAAACACCCACTGAACATCATTTCAATAAGATTTTTTAATACGCAATTAATGTTTCAAAGTTAAAAAAAAAAAAGAATACTCTTGAATTTTCTTGAGCCAGTACTAGTAAAACAGAGAAATTTGCATCACAAGGTGAATATGTAGATAYATTTTCAAGTGAACAAAACAACCTTTCAGTGGTGGGCACAACTAAACAGAAWGTTAGGTTCACTAATTACTAATCTGCTAAACAACAAGAATCTTAGTTCTGCTAATGCTAAACACACAAAAAA